GTATATATATATAGTATATATATATGTATATATATATATAACATTAACATTAACATTAAACCAGATTGAAATTATATTTATTATATAATTATACATATATATATACATATATATATAAAATTGGATCTGGTTTTTCTTATTTTTTTCCACTTCTCTGCTGAAATTCCCCAACCATTCATTTTTTCCCCATCTGTCCCTATTTAAGATAGATACTTTAAATTCTTTTCCGCTAATTCTTGTATCTGTATCATCTGTGATTTGCTTCTGCTGCTGCTTTTCCTTGGTTATGAGTCCTATTCCTGCCTCCTCACAGGTTTTGGATTTTATTATTGCATCCTGGAAATTATATACAGAAGAAAAGTGAGAATTGAAGAATAATACTGATTGTTTCTTTCCCCCAGAAATGTCAAGTTCTGCTCTCATCTGCTGGCTAAAGCGAGGAAGTGATTATTCAGATTTCAGCAAGTGTTCATTTGACTGGGGCTGATCTGTGGGTCACCTCTGGTCAGCCCCACCTCTCCCACCCAGCTTATGCAGGAAGGGGTAGTCTCCTAATTCTTAGGGTTGGATTTGGGATTCCTCGATTTGGGGGACTGGGAGAATGTGAGAGACGGTGCAGATGGAATGATCTCTTTCTGCTTCTCGGTCCTGCCTTCATTTGTGTTTTTCCCAGCAAATTTGGGGGGGTGGTGGAGAGGACTATAATCCTCTGTTGAACATATTATTATTGTACGTGATAGTATTTCAGACTCCAGGACATCCCAGCTATCTCCAGTACCACCAGTAGCTTGGCTGGCTTCATCTCCGTCCCACAAAGTTCTGGATCTTCACATCCTTTTGCTCTCCCTGCATCTAGATCTGCCAGGACTCAGATCACTGATAGAGGGCTCCTCTCTCTGGAAGTCAGTTCATCAAGTCTCTCCTGCCTCCACTGTTCTCTGATGGTCTCATATACGAGTATGATTTTTATATTATCCAGATTAGTTTTTGGTGTTCCCATGGGAGCCAAGGTCTTCTGTATCCTAACTGGAAGCAGCAAGTACCTAGAATGGTAGCTGCTATTTTTAGCACTAGAGGAAATTCCCTAAATGCAAGACGTCCTGGCCCTGAACTCTTAATAGTCAGCCTAGTGCCGAAGCATGTGTTTCATCCAGGAGAGTTGAAAATGAGACCGTGCGGGTGGCTTATTTTTAAAGACTTAGTTGAGTTTCTAGCAAATGCTTTATGGGCCACACTCCTATCTCTTTACCTTTACCATTTCAGGTCCTTCCAGGGCCCAGCCTCTATGTCTCTTTGCTTGGGGGTTTTCTCCCAAAGTCCACCTTGCCCATGTCCAGCAGGAACAGTCCTTACCAATGACTGGAGGAGGCTGGTGGATAAACAACCCGGTTCCCTTTCTCCTGGGTTGGATACCTTAGAGACCTGTGTTCTAGACAGTCTCCCATTCCCCCAGAAGAAGTAAATCCCAGCTGCCCACAGAGGTAACTTACTTGCTAAACACACTTTCCTTGGCTACCTTCTCTTCCTGGCCTCACTGACTCCCTCCCTGGCATGTCCTGGGGTCACCTTTCAGATCAACTCCCTGCCTTGGAATCACTGCCTAGATTCTCCTGTGGAAACCCAACTGAAGGCAGGCTTCAATTCAGATGTGCAACCTCTGGGTGCTACTTGGGTTTGTGTAAAGGGGCCAGCATGGACAGGGTGTTATTTGGAGCAAGGTAAAGTTAGCCAATGTTAGATGGACCTCTCCAGGGAACATCAGGCACATTTCGAGAATGCCAGGAGTGCTGATGCTGGAGTTCTTTATTATAAACTGGAGCCATCTGCCGGCCTGTAATAAACGGAATATGACCGTCCTAATCTGGGATGCACTTAAACTGTTTACTCTCTCTTGGTGGTTATGTCTTTAAAGCCTAACGCGCACTGGATGATGGATTTAAATTCATAAGTACATTTTTTTTTGAAAATTGGCATGAAGTTCTTGCCACACAATATGCAAAATACATTAGTATGTTGCATCGAGAGTTGGTGTTCTCTCTCTTATTATTTTTTGTTTTTAAATAAAGCAAGCTTGTACCACAGCCCCGTACGCGTCTTGTGGGGATGCCAAGAACTGCTCTAAAAGCCACTTTCTAAGGAGCAATTTTCTTCTTGTCCCATAAAACTCCCCAAAGCACCTTAGGCAAACACCAGAGCGCTGGGTATGTTTGCAAACTGCAAATACGGCAGACATTTAATTACATCGAATTCATCAGAACCCTAATTGAGACAGGAACTCAAACCTTACTGCTTAATTACTTTGATTTCAGATGAGTAACAGACTTGGTCATGAGCAGCCCTTCAGGCCAGAATACATTAGAAAGAGGCCCGTGGGCCCTCGCGGGGAATTCTCCCAGCCAAATGAAAGTGTGGAGCCACATAAATAACCATGCTAAGTGAGACCCATGATTGGATTTATTAATCAGTTCAATTCCCAATATCCATCCCTTGCTGTGGTGTTCCACTGCACCGGCCCCACCACCTGGGAATGCTTCTCCGTGTGTAAGGCAGGATTTATTTCTCACCGATTTTTCCTTTCCCTCCCACTGATGAGACAGCATGGAGGCGAAGCCCGGTCCTCTGAGATCGCTCTTCTATCAACATCTCCTTTTTGATTTTCATTTAGAACGCCTTCTCCCTGACCTTCATTCCCTTCCCCACCTGGCCCGAGGGGGATGTTCCACCAACTTCTTGGCCAAATGATCACAGTGACTTATGGTGGGATTTGGAGGTGAGGACCTCATGGATCCTTATTCTTTTGAGAGCCAATAATGGTATCTTTTATTGAGCATTTACCAGGTACGCTGACTCCTGCTTAATGCTGAACATGCTCTGTTTCACCCTTACGGCGATGCTAGGTGGTAGGTGGGCTTATATCCTCCCGCTCCATAGATTGGGAAACAGGCTCAGAGGAGTGATAAAGTCACTTCTCCAAGTTTTCATGGCCAGCAAAGGACAGAGTCTGGATTCAAACCCAGGCCAGTCTGAGTCCCTGACCTATGTTCTTTCCAAAACATAATTTGCTCTGTCTGCAAAGACTTCCAGGATTCTACAAACTGCTGAAAGAAGAGAGGTGGATGGAACCTCCAAGTGGGCATGAGACAAGGAAAACCAGAAGGAAGTGCTGTGGCATCCAGAGTCATCACGCGGGCAACTTCTAACAACATCGTGGCGGCTACTTCTCTCCAAGAGATGAGCTTGCAAAGACCTTCCAGGTGGGGGAAAGTGACTGAGTACTTCAGCACGTGCTGAAGTTCAGGAAGCAATCTGCCTTTTAAGCAGGTGTTCTAACCAAGGCACTGATTAACCGCATTGCTAATAAATTATGAATACAAATGAATGCAAGCCACTTCATATGTAATTAGTTGCCTGGCATTTACTAGATACCTCCCTGTCATTTGTTTCATTTCTTTACGTTACTTCTCCCCCTTTGGGCTTGCCTTTCCATCAAGCCGCATGTACAAATGACTAATGCACTAATGACAACATGAATAATGGCCGGGCTAATAATCATACTGCTCATGGTGACAATGCTAATTAAGAGAGTGTGAACAGCAATAGCCTCTTCTGCAGGATGTGACTATTCATCTCCGCAGGGCAACGAGAAGACAGCCACAAGACGAGATCCACGCAAGTGTACCAAAGGCAAAGACAGAGACTGGTTTTTTGGTTTTTGGTTTTGGGGGGGGCACTAACAATATTTATAAGAGGTCTAAAAAAACACCATATTGTGGGTCCACAAAATCTAAGACTAGAGATGATGGGTCAAAAGGATGAGAAAAAATAAAATGTCAGTAGCAAATTGGGCAGAACTCAGCCACCACGTATGGACACACCTGTGGGCTCTGGAGCCCATTCCTGGAGAGATCGAGGTGTCCCTCTGCCTGTCACCCAGAAGCAGCCAACTCATCAGGCAACCTGAACTAATCAATGGGCATGAAATGATGGCATTTAGAAACAGGCAGTGAAGAACAGCACGGTGTCCCAGGTGCCTCCTGCAGAGACTCTCCAGTTCGAGTTAGAGAGACGGGCAGGGTGGGTGCCCCTGGCTGGCTGACTGGACAGCACAGGGGCCCAGAAAAGGGTGTGGAAGAAGGTTCAAATGGTGCTTTCTTTAGCCTTCAAACCAGCCAACACCTTTAGCAGGACCCTGTGTCCCCCACAGTGAGGGAGCTGGTTAGGATCACCAGGCTCTTCAGTAATGCAAGCAGAGTGCCCTAAACGGGCTTCTAGAAGGTGCTTTTCCTAGAAGACATTCAAAGTCTGGCTGTCTGGGCAGAGCTCAGGATCAAAGTTCCTGTGAGGGAATTAGGACGTCGGAGCCGGCAAACCCTTGGGCGCCTCAGCGTCGCTGAGGCTACCAGTGAGCCTTGCACTTAGGTGACTTCTGGGTGTCTTCCCAGGACTTTCCAAACAGACACCAGACCCCAGGGTACCCCTGGAAGTAGAACAGCCTCCATAGACAAAATGCAGGCATGCAAAGAACCTCAGGATCCCAAAAGTAAGCTAAAGTAACCATGTAAATAAATTACTTGATGGCTGTCGCAAAACTGTCCTATGCTGTGACAGCTGCAAATGGTTTTTAGCAGACAAAAAATCTGTCGTTTCCTCTCTCTCTCTTATTTGCTTTATTGCCAGTGAGTCAAAGCCATACCTTAAATCTTTCTAGGTCATTTCAGTTCAGATCATGACATTCAAAATGAGCTTGACACCTTCAGATTCGTAGCCTGCACCTTCAGGCTGGTTAATTATTTATGTGGACCCGGGTGCTCTGTATGCCATCAACATGGACACCAAACAATGGTGCCTGACATTTTCCAGTCCCAGGTGGGCAGCCTCCTGGGGCGTGAGATCCCATGTCACTGCTGCCCAAGACCATTGGCCCCCATGCTGACGGCGTTCCTGCCCCACCTCCACGCTGTCCCCTCTGAGCCCACGCCACGTTCTGCCGCTGGCCTTACCTGCCCAGCAAAGAGCCCACAGACACCGATGATGCACAGGATGTTGAACACCGCGGAGCCCACGATGGTCCCGACTCCCACGTCACCCTTGGTGATGAAGACCCCTGAAACAGACCTAATGTCAGCCTGGCTGTTGTGGCCAGTTGCATTCTAATGTGGGCGTGGGGTTGTTTTCACAAATGTTAGTTAGACAATTCTCAGGGTCCACGGGAAACGGCCGAGGACGGGAGAGAGTTTTAAAATCTGCACTGGGGCTATTGTTCCATGGAGGCATTGGCACAGGAACTGGGACACATTCATGCAAAGTGAAACTGTCACTTGAGCAAAATAGTAACAGCAACCACAGCGGGGTGGGAAGATGGTGTTCTGCTCCTTGGGGTCTTGAGAGTCTCATTTCCTATTAGCCAACCCGCTGGAAGCCTTTCTGTCCCCACAGTCCTTGTCCTTAAGAGAGGGCAGGGCTGAGATATCCCAAGGTCATCACCTACCTATGACGGATGTGAACAGCTCTGGGGCCGAACTGCCTGCTGCCATGAACGTGGCCCCGGCCACGTCTTCACTGAGGTGCAGGCGCTACAGAGGAGCAAGGACAAAGCACAGGTGAGTTGGGATTCCCCTGGGAACAGAGGCGATCATGACTCCTGAGGTCCCGAGCTCAGGGCCTCCCATAACCTTCCCCGTCCCCCACAACTGGCCTTTCCTGCACCATCCCCTGCTGGGACACAGCTCCTCTGGCCATCCTCCTCAGGGGCAGGATCAGGGAGAGGGCTGCATATCTCTGTGAGTTAAAGGCTCTTGACAGATCTAGGAATCCCCAACCCAGAAGCCCCAGGTGTTGTGCAGACGACAGGGGGGAGTGCGGTGGGTTGGTGTGAGGCACTATGGGCATCTGCCTCCTTTCTAAAGGGTGTGCCACTCACTTCCCTCCATGTTGCCAAATAGTCTTACTTCTTAAGAGATGGCCAAATCCACATTTTTATGCAAACATCCTGATTTTTTTTCAATACTATGCATATCCCAGGCTAAATGAGGTAATCAGTTTGCAAGTCTTGATTCTAGGAGGTTACAACAGCTTTGGGGGTGGAGGGGTCACCCTCCTGAAACCTACTTTTCATCATTAATGCAGTTAGGAGAATAGGGGGGTGGGGTTGAGACTGAGTGGAAAGGATGAGGTGCCCTGTCAAGATGTCCTGTACAATGAACCCTCCAGGTTACTCTGTTAACCCAAAAGGTGATCTACAAGAAGATGAGACAAATATATATATATTTGAGGCTGGTCAGGGTGTTTAGCCTTTCTGCATTCAATCATGACCCAGAACGTAAGCTGCTGGCTGTCAGTAACTAGCCTGTTCCCTGTTGGGTCCCAGCCAGGAGATGCTAGTCTTGAATGCCAACAGTCCCTCTTCCCAGCGCACGGGCAGCTGCACTTCCTTGCTTAGCCATGGAGGGGCAGCATGGCCTTGGCGTAGGCCACTGGCTCCCTGGACCAGCAACAGGCTGCAGTGGGAGCCCTAATGGAGCTCTTTGATCTGGAGTCCTGGGGATCCCTCACTCTGGACTGAACAGCTCAACTTCACATGCGACTCTAAGATGGAGGTGCTGATACCTCAAGTTGAAAGCTGTGGCTGTGAGGGGTGCAGGTGAGACCCCGGACATGAAGTCCCTGAAGGTAACCTAACACAGAGCTCACACTCATTGCTGGTCAGTCAAGACTTGCCAGGAGCTGTGAGCTTGGGACTGCTGTGTCTGTTCCAGCTCAGGGTCCATCATGGGCATTAGACATAGAGTCCACACCTTGAGCTCATCTCCAGTTCCTCTCTCTCTCCTTCAAACACTGAGTTTGCTTCTTCCCCCAGGTTTCCTTACATCCCCTCCTCTCTCATCTCTAATTCACTTGGGCCCTGGCAACAGCTTGCTGATGCTCCGAATCACCAGCTCGGGAAGGGTAGGGTCTTCCTGCCTCTGGACGCCTCTATCTATCAGAACATAGTTGTCAAGAGCCTTCCCGACTCCCTCCTGAGCCCTGGTAACCACTGATGCCCTAGCCTCACCTTCCCCAGGGTTCCTCAGAGGCCAATTCCAGTCCTGGGTTGTCCTCCCATGGTCCCGGAGCTCAGACTCTCCTCTGCACAAATATCCTTCCTTGAAATGTGTTGCCTTGAAATGTGAAAAATGCCTCCAAGGGCTGCTCCACTCCTGTCCCTGAACAAGCCCCTCCTTTTCCCCCCACCCCAATCAAGCTGTCCCTCCCCTTTCCTCTCTCTCTACTTTCCAACTTCACAGAATTTCATCCAGCCCCCTGTGTGCCTCATCCCGGAGCTGCTCTGTGCCTTATGGCCTGTGGATGGCAAGGACCATGCTCTATTTCATATCATGTCCTCCCCAAGGGGGTGTGCTCACAGGTGCTACGGATTTCCTCTATGGAGTAGAACACCTCCTGACAAGAATACATATGTACATGTCTATGTAGGGTCGTAAATTTGTTATAAAAAAAAAGTTGTGTGGGAAAGAGAGTAGTTTGCTTTGCATAATGAATAGAGCACCACGTGGTGGTATTTCAGAGATCACAAATTACCCTGGTTACGGGTGCTTCAGCACCTCCTCTCCTGCTACATAAGGTGACCCTGTGCTCAGGTGACATTGCTTGGGACAAAGGGCTCCCACACGTGCCCACTGTCCATCTCAGATGCCACCTCATCGCTCTCCTTCTCCTTCTGCCCAATAAAGAAACCTCCCCCCGGGGCCCCTCCAGGGCTCCTGTGGTCTGATTCTCTTTTATTTATTTAAAGTACAAAAACCAAACAGATTTCTAGGATGTAGAAGAAACCGCTTAAGTGAACGATCTCCAAGTGTGGTTTCTGGACCAACAGCCTCAGCATCACCTGGGCACTTCACAGAAATGCAACTTGGGTCCTCTGCTGCCCCCCAAGAACTAATGAATCAGCCATTCAGGGGGGTGGGGGTTGGGGAGAGGGAAGAGGAAGGATGACCAAGGGGGAGGATGACTGAGAACTACCCGAGGACACGAGTCCCAGATGGGAGGCGTGTCTGGGAGAGAGCCTTTTGGAAAACAGGATTCTAAATTAAAAATAAAGTGGAAAGCTTCCGGATAAAGGAAACTACATTTCAAAACAGACGGAGATGAAAGAGGCAAGAGAATGAAAGTGTTCTAAATACCCTGAATATTTTCTGATGAAAGGGCTGTCATTTGGTCTTCAACCTGACGTTCCCCAGGCTGAGTGAGAAGAGTCCCTTTCCTGTTCTCTGTGGCCAGTTCTTTCATTGTCTCGCTTCTCGGGTCTCTGCTTGGCACATTTCTGCACATGTACAGAGAGGGGCAGGGTGGTGGAGGTGTGTGGCTGAAGACCTCTGGCTCTGCAAGGACCCCATGAGGGAGGTCACGGATGTGGAAGGAAACAGAGGAGGGGAAGATGGGGGATGTAGAGGTATTTAAAAGAGGAAAAGAGAACAGGGAAGTAGAACACAAATATCACCATGAGTTGTCAAATGGAGCAGGGAGAGCTGGCCATATGGGTGAAAGCCCAACTATGGGTCAGAACCCTGATGTTCTAAATGGACTGATGGAGTTTTGTGCTAATATTGTCAGTCGCTCAGATGCATGCTGATGTCTGGTGCTCCTGCCCAGACATGGAGGGCTCCCCAGGACCTCCATGAAGGAGGCTGGAGCAGCACATTGCACCCCCTGCCCAGACATGCTGAGAATATAAGGCACTTACCTCACAGATCTTTTCCAAGGAGGGGACGAAGAAGTCGTCACACACAATGGCTAGCGCATAGAACATGTACATGGCCTGGAAGAGAGGAAAGAAGGGGTTAAAGTCAGAGTCAACGCAGAGCCATAGGGTGAGGGCCTGGCTACCCTCTGCTTCAATAACACCCTCTGGTACCATGGACACAACATCTCACTCCAAGTACAAAGACTGCAATGCCTGGGAGGCCCTCCGTGATCTCACCTCTCCTCTGACCTCATCATCTACCACTCTCCCCCTTGTCCACCAAACGTACTGTGGATGCCTGCCTCAGGGCCTTTTCATCTGCTGTTCCCTCTGCCCAAATCAAGCTCCCCTCAGATGACCTTGGCTCACTCCATCATGTCCTTCAAGTCTCTGGTTCAATGTCAACCTAAGCAAGGGACCTGGGACTCTGCTCCCTCCCATTTCTCTGTATCCACCTTATCCTGATTTGTTTTTCTTGACATATTAATTTGTTTGTTGTCTGTCTTCCTCACTAGAAGTCCACGAGAATATGGACTTTATCTTATTTATCCCCAGCACTCAATAATATATGTGCAATGAAGGAATAAATAAACGAATACTTCAAGTGAGGCTGTTCACTGTGCTGTTCCCTGCAGGACAGGCTCTGCAATCTTGCTTCCTGTCAGCTATGACCAGAGAAACCCTGGAATTCTACTGTTTGGCCATAAATTACCTCTCTACCTATTTAACTCCAGGTTTCTTCTCTAATTAATAAATTCTTATTTGGATTCCATTCATTGTTGGTTGACCACCTAGCATCCATCCTTCACTCCGTCCTAATGGGACCCCAGTTTCATTCCAATATCCACCATATCCCCTGGGAAGGTGACTCCACCCATTCCTCCAGGAGTAGATACTGACTGGACAATCAGTATGCAGTGTTTCCCACTGATGGTGCAGGGGTGGACACATGACTTGGGCTGGCCCAGTGAGACAGCAGGAAAGGTCTTATAGTCCTTGCCAGTGGGTGCCATTTCTCAACTTCCGGCACTGGTTATGGACAAGGAAGCTGGAAGTCCTGACTGCTCCTGGAGGCCATATTGAGGGAAATTGGACATGAGATGAAGTTGACCCTGAGTAACTTAATGCCATCACCAAGCCATTGAGCACATGGTGCTGGAGCATGCCTGCCTCTGGACTTTGTAACAGGGCATTCAGACCAGTCTGATTTGGAGTTTTCCTGTTACTTGCAGCCCAAAGCATCAAATGGGTACAGTGGGTCATCCTTCAAGTTCCAGTATCCTCAGCAGTGACACCACTTTCATGTTTTCATCTCTCAACATCTTTTCCTTTTGAGCATTGCTCCACCAGACAGACCTTCAGTCACACATTCCCAACCTCCCTCAGCACAGGGTGCAGGCACATGACCCAGGCTAGCTGCCCGGACACTCCATTCTCTGTCACACAGTGGTGGGTGGGCAAAAGGTCTGCAAGGGGCCAAGGAGGGATTGACAGAGAAGCTGGGAGAGAGGGGCTCTCTCTTTATGAGATATAAACACCACCCAAGTCTGGATCTGTCCAAGAATGCAGCTCACATAGTAAGAAGACCATCGAAGAGATGGGACAGACAGACAGACAGACACACACACACACAGATACATACATACAGACACACATATTTACACAGATAGACACACACATTCACACAGGTGCTCAATGACACCACATGAACTCTGGACCCAGCTCAGTCTGAAGCCAAAGTCGACTTTCCAATTTCATGAGCCAATAATATGCCTTTTACACTTAAGATGACTTAAGCGGAGTTTCTGTCACTCGCAGCTGTCCTTCATGAAGGCTTCTGTAGCAACCCAAGCATGAAATGATCTCTCTGGCCTCTGACTCTTGGTTGTTGCACTAATTTAGCCACCCCTCCCCTACTTTATGAACTTGTTTTCCTTTTCACACTTACGTGCTTGGGCTCTCTGACCAGACTGTAAAATTCTAAAATGCATCTTACCACTTGATTCTGTGGAAATACCAGACGAGTGCACAAAAACATATGCAGTGGGGATATTCTCTCCAAAATGCTCACTATAATAAATTATAAAGCCTAACAAAATATACAATAGGGGATTGGTTATATAAACTGTGGTTCTTCATTCAATGAAATCCTGCTAAAAGAGGTTATTTAAGTCCACAGTTAACAACAAGAAAAGGAATTTACAATACATTACTAAATGAAAAATATTATAAAACAGTGAGTACAATCTCTTTTTGAGTATTATCTATTGTATAAGCACACACACACACACACACACACTCACATAAGTATATTTGCATGTAAGAGTTTGTAAGGCCATAAATCAAAATAGCTTCTCCCTCTGTTGGTGTGACTCTGTTTTTATAATCCCTATCCATATTTTCTGTTTGTCCACCTTGAATTTGTATTTCTTGTGTGAATTTTGTAGGTGGTGGAGACTTTAGAACAAGGATTCTGTCTTACATGTTTCTAATCTCCAAGGAGCCTGGGATGTCTGGCATGCAGAGAAGCCTTAAAAATAACTTTTATTGATTGGTCTATTCATAATCTGTACAAAATTATTTGTCTGTGGACTTTTGGGGGAAGAAAATGTCACTTTAAAAAAATTAATGCTATATTTACAGCTTGTGGATGAGTGAGAATATACATTCCCAAATTGCAATGGACTCAACCCCCCTTTTCCTGTATGATTTGGCTGATCCAATGATATGTGGGCTTTATCATTATCTTGAAAGGATAGACAGATGCAGTAATTGGAATACAGAATTGCACATTTGTGAATTAAGCAAGATCTAAATAAGCTGTCTATAGCTGCCATACTCAACTCACTGAAATAGCCAAGTCTGTAAATCATCTCTTTAAGACTATGTTCCAATATCATGTATTGATCCTGTTGTGAAGCAAGAAGCTCCATCTAACATAACACAAATCAACACCTGGATTGGGTTGAGACGTGAAGAGGTCTTCCAGGCTCTCCGTGCTTTCAAGGGTGATGACTATCGCATTAATTCCCCTGCACAGGGGAGTGTGAGATGGGGATGCCCACCCTCAATCAGATGCCCCTCTGGACACCTGAAGGGGCCTGCCAGGCAATGGGGCTCCTCTCCAGCCATACAGTACCTCCCGGCCTGCCACTTTGCTTACAAGAAACTCTGCTCTAATTCCTGTCATGTTACCACTGGAAGTCAGGTTCCCACTGGAAAAACAAATAAAATAGAACAAAGTATTGATAGGGGGAGGTGCTGTGCAGGTAGGGGGGTAGGAAGGATATGAAAATCAGTACCTTCCACTCAATTTTGTTGTGAACCTAAAAATGCTCTAAAAAAGGGTTTACTACTACTACTACTACTAAGAAATAAACTAAAAAAACAAAAACAAAAAAAAAACAACAGAACAAAGGAACAAAACAAACATACAAAGTCAACCTTGAAGATACAACCTTGAAGGACCTTCTTCAACCTTGAAGAAAGCCTGATGATATTGATAGCACCATCAATACAACTGGCCTGAATATTTTAGAGTGAGGCACTTTTGCATTAAGTTGGCCATTCCTTTATTTCCAAAGGATATAATAATACAGTGATAATGACTAATAGCAATATTATTAACATTTGCTACTATTTGTTGGGTCAGGAATAGCAGGCACATTCCAGGTACTTTATGAGGGCTGTCCATGTAATTTCTCTAATTCCTGGGGGAGGCAGGGAGTTACTGGCCCCATTTCCCAGATACCTCCGAGAGTACGGTAGCTTGTCCAAGGACACATGGACGGCAAATGGCAGGCCTTGGATGTGACCCCAGGACTCTCCAAGTCTCACCGAGGCCAGCTGCCTCCCCCAACAGAGGTCATTCCTGAACTGCTGTCCAATCGACACCTTCTATTTTCAGTTGGCCTACGAGTAAGCTGACCTCTCCAACTACACAAAGGGAGGGATGGTTTTGGAATCCCAGCCATCCACTTCTGGGGGCTGGTGGTCGGAATCACTGATGCTTTCTTATTTGTTTTTATTTTATAAGCTTAATTTTGATTACATACTCACATACAAATATACCATTTACATAAATGTGCCAATGTGATCAGCACAAACAGGAGTAAACCTTAGTTACCTCTTTATTTGTAGCAGCTTCCTGTTTTCCTCTATAAATAAATGGACTATCCACCCTGCTGCAATTAACATCTTTAAACATACATCCTTTTGCATTTCTAGGATAAACTTCCAAATGCTGGAACTGTTGGGTGATGTTCTTTTTTAATATTATTATTTTTACAAGGTATGCTAAAAAATACAGGACAGACTTAAACCCTCAAAAATGTTTGAGGTGAGCCAATACCCCAGGGCGACAGATGTGTGGCTGCGCCCCCTGGAATCTGAGCCTGTGGGTTGGCTACCGCCAGAACAAGCATGTGTGGGATGCTTTCCAGAAATGATGAGTGGGGGGTGTGTGCAGAGGAGAGGAGAGGAGGGGTCCATTTCAGCTTCAACTCCAAGCTCATGATCACAGGGTTCCTCACTTCCCTGAGGACTCATCTGGGCCCTCGCTGTGGGCATCTGTACTTTGGCACTGACTACGTGCTGCCTGGACCGTAAGCCCTGTTTTAAGTTCATGTACCTGGCTTCTCTTCTCTTGAAGAGGGCAGCAGCTGTGCTCTTCCTACATTCATACCCCGCCTTAGGGCAGGCTTGCACAGAATGAGGGCCCTGTTTATATGAAATGAATGCGTCCAAGCAGGGCTGTGCCCACAGAATATGGTGTCACCTTTGGAAGCCATCAAGGGAAATGCCTGCGGAGCATTGACTAGCACAGCAGCTGTAGAAGGAGAGGCAGCCTGGAGCCTCGGAGGAAGCCCAGGATGGGGTCAAGGACCTCACATCAAATCCCCCATTGTGACCTTGAGTGACTGTCCTTGGCCTCCCTTAGCCTTCAACACAAGACCAAACACACCATGCTCTCAAGTTAGCGTATGAGGCTACCATGGGGAGTACATGGAAACGGAAGAGCAAAAGGGCTTGGGTGTGGCCAGGCACCTCACACAGCAACATGTGCTGTGAGGACG